GTGCTGAAGAGATGTCAAGCTCTAGGTAAGAAGAACATTGTTAAGCTCGCAGATCGAAATGGAAAAGTGGTAACAGATAAAGATAAGATAATTAAGGTAGTTGAAGAATTTTACACAGAATTATATAGAGAAAGGTGGAAGAAAGACGGCACCAAGTTGAGAAAAGTCCAGAATGTGGGTTCAGAGGATATCCCAGAAATAACAACCGAAGAAGTTTTAAAGTCATTAAATAGAATGAAAAACAATAAAGCAGCTGGTGATGATCAAATCGTCATTGAGGAAGTTAAAGCAGGAGGAAAGACAGTATTGAAAGCATTGACGCAATTATATAACTTATGCCTTTCAAACGAGGTTACACCATCTCAGTGGAATAAAGCTGTTATAGTAGTCATGCACAAAAAGGGAGATATAACAGAGCTAAAGAACTATAGACCTATTAGCTTGTTATCTCACGTTTATAAGTTGTTTATGAAGATAATAACTAATAGGTTGACATCAAAACTAGACTTCTATCAACCTTGCGAGCAAGCAGGATTTAGAGCTGGATACGGAACAAATGATCATTTGCAAACCATTAAGTCGTTGATTGAAAAAACCATTGAATATAATAGACCCCTGATACTTATCTTTGTCGACTTTGAAAAAGCATTTGATACGGTCAATCAAAGTGAAATGCTCCAAGCTCTAACACAATGTAGAATAGATCACCGATACATATCTCTCATCAGATACATCTATCAACATGCTACAGCCTGTGTAAGACTTAATGAAGATACTGGGACTTTTCGTATTGAAAGAGGCGTTCGGCAAGGAGACAACATGTCTCCTAAATTATTTACAACTTTGCTAGAATACGCTTGTAAAACAATAGATTGGAACGAAAAGGGCATCAATGTAGATGGAAAATTTTTAAATAACCTTAAATTTGCAGATGATATCGTTCTTATTGCAGACAGCTTTGATCAGGCACAGATAATGCTCCAAGAACTCCATACTGCCACAAAAAGAGTTGGTCTTAAAATAAATTTTTCAAAAACACAATTTATGACAAATTTAGTCCACAACAAAAACATCTCAGTAGAAGACAAAGATATTGAGCCAGTTGACTCCTATAAATACTTAGGCCATGAGATCAGAATAAGTCGAGACAACCAAACAATCGAGCTAAAAAGAAGAATAAACCTCGCTTGGGCTGCATTTGGAAGGATGAAGGATATTTTTAGGTCTAAGATTCCAATGTGTCTGAAAAGAAAAGTATTTAATCAATGTATTTTGCCAGTGATGACCTACGGCGCAGAAACCCTAACGCTCACAAGAACAACAGTGAGTAAACTACAAGTTGCGGAAAGAGCAATGGAGAGAATTATGTTAGGGATTTCTCTACGTGATAGAATACCCAATGCTACTATACGCAAAAGATCAGGAGTAGCAGACGTTATTGAAAGGATAACAACACTAAAGTGGAACTGGGCAGATCATGTAGCAAGATCAGTTGATGACCGGTGGACAAAAGAATTTTGGAATGGAGACCCCGAATACAAGCATACAGAAATAGAGGTCGACCCCCAACGAGATGGACAGATGACATAAAAAGAGTGACTACAAATTGGATTCAGATGGCGCAAAATCGGACTAAGTGGAAGAGCATGCGAGAGGCCTATGTTCAGCAGTGGACGTTAGAGGCTAGTTGATGATGATGATGATGATTTGACCATCGGATTTCCTAGCGTCTATCCATCCTGCGCCTTCCAGTCATTTCCATGGAATTTGTTCCATATATCTCTTTATATGCTTGTTCTTCTTTCTTGTCTTTTGGCATATATCACAGTTCCATTCCGGTAATGTCTCTATATCAGTTCAGTTTTTTTTAATTTTTTCTTTATTAGATTTCTGTTTTAACTGATTTCTGTTATTTTTATTTCTGTATTTGACTTGGCCTCCCAGCATTTTTTTCAATTACTTAATTTCTTTCATCATAAATTCATGTCAGTTATACATAGCTTCTAACTTGGTGGCCATAGACGGTATCAATAAAAAAGGCGGTACTAATAGTTACTTATTTTAATTCGTTGGGTACAGAAGGCGGACCTGGTTTGTTACTAATTGAATTTTAAGTACATCCTTTTTATTTGTAGATTCGATTAGGCACAACTTGTAAAAAAGGTACAATTTTATGATACACCAAGAATTTATTGGACGGGAGCATTTTGAAGGATTGGCCTGTATATTTGTTGTTTTTTGTGGTAGTTGAATTTATAAAGTAATAAAATAACAGGAATACCGCATTATTTTTAATTTTTACTGTTACTTGTTATTTTTAATACGTATGTATTTATGTGAATTATTGTGAAGTATAATACAGCGGCGCAACCATACCATCGAAGACCCGTGGCAAATTCATTGGATTCATTGGAAAAATATTGTCTTATCTTCTTCTTCTTCTATCTCCTTCTTCTTGTTATATTTTTCCTTAAATATTTTTATTATTTATACTTTCGTGATTTCTTAAGCCATATGTTTTATTTTCTCTGCATTTCTACTTTACTCTATTGATAGGATAATTTTCCCTTAATTAAGTTAGTTTTATAGTGTATTTTTATGTATGAGAGGGTAATAAAACAATAAATTATGTATGCAAATCCCTAAACTGTTGATACGGGTGACTCAATGAAAAACAGATATTTGTCAACAAGTTTACAGAAGTATATAGGAAAACAATTTTAAATTGAGTATGACCACCAGGTATAAAGGTTGGAGAAGAATAGAATACAATAGTTGTGAGGGTTACTAATCCCTAAATAAGGTTGCCAGTGTCGGAGTGATGGAGGTTAACAGGTACTAATGAATTTGCAAGAAATGTAAGATGTTTATTTTATTGGTTATATATAACCAATAAAAGTTTAATAAGTACCTACCTATTTGCAAAATAAAGTTTAATTCTTTAGATAAAATAAAACGTTTTATTTTATCTGAAATGAGTGCATTCCACGAAGTAAGGGTTTCAACAATCAAACATTTAATTCTTTAATTCCAGGAATCTACGACAGTAATTGACTAGATAATTACCTTCTAAACTTATTCCACAGAAAATGTGATAGTGGGTTTTTCCATTTTGTAGGAAGGTCCAAGTGGCGTATTCAAAATTCTTAACAGTTCACTAAAAGTAGGTACTTCAGTTGCAAGGTGCAGTTTATTGTGTATACTAGTGTTATGGAAAATTTGGAAGTGCCGTGTAAACGCCGAAAAATTGGTCCTTAAACAGTTAATGAAAAAACAATAATATTTAATTGTTTTAAATCATTTACAGACAAACGTTTATGTGAAAGTGTTGATGAGATCGTTGAGTTAGTTAGCAGTACACTTGGTGTTGGGAAATCTACGATTTACAGAGTTATTAAAGAAGAGAAATGTGGTAGTTTTCAAATGCCACGTAATGCTCCAGAAAAACCAAAATTTCAAATAAAATATCATTTTAAAGAAGGACTTCGACGGAAAGTGCATGAATTCTTCTTTAGACAAAAATTTCCAACATTGGATAAAGTTCTTGTGTCAGTTCGAGATGATAAGGATTACCCAGAAATGAGTCGAAGTACGTTATGGAAACTTTTAAAAGAAATAGGCTTCCGCTGGAAAAAGAATCCTAGAAAGTCTATTTTATTAGAAAGAAGCGATATTATCATATGGAGAAGACATTTTCTAAGAACCATAAAGGAAATGAGAAACCAAAAAAGAAAAATATTTTATCTTGATGAAACATGGATCAACGAGGGTCATACACCAAATAAATTTTGGCAGGATGAAACTGTTACAAGTCAAAGGCACGCTTTTGTAAATAACTTTCTTCTTGTAAATCTACTGGTTTAAACCCACCATCAGGAAAGGGACGCAGGCTGATAATAGTACACATTGGCAGTTCAGACGGTTTTGTTGAAGGTGGTTTATTAACTTTTGAATCAACTCGTACCGGTGACTACCATGAAGACATGAACGCTGATGTTTTTCAAGAATGGTTCGAACAAATGATAGATCTTCTTCCTAAGAACTGTGTAATAGTAATGGATAATGCAAGTTATCACTCCAGACTTATAGAAGGACTGCCCACAATCAAGTGGTTAAAAAAAGACTTGCAGAATTGGCTGAGTTCAAAAAATATTACGTACCATCCCGGATCTATAAGAAAGGAACTTTATTCGTTGTGTACCCTTCATAAAGAAAAATTTAAAAAATACGAAATTGATGAAATTGCCAAAAATCGTGGAATGACAGTACTTAGATCCCCACCATATCATTGTGAATTAAACCCGATTGAACTGATATGGGCACAGATAAAGAGTGAAGTTTCAAGAAAAAATACCACTTTTAAAATTCATGATGTTAAACAGTTGTTTTTGGAGGCCGTAAATAATGTAAAACCTGAAAACTGGGAAAAGGCAGTAAATCACACTATTAAAGAAGAGGAAAAAATGTGGAAGCTGGACAATATTACTGATAAAATGATCGAGCCAGTTATTATAAATCTTGGTTCTGAAAGTTCATCTTCTGAATCTGATTTGGATTTGTAACAAGTAGCTGTAAGTTTTATATTAATATTTTTATTCATCTATTTAACATACCTTAGACGGTTTTAAAAACTCTTTTTCTCTTTTGTAATTTTTAAAAATTAAAAAATATGTGAATTTCTTAAAACCCTTTTTAATGTAGGCCAGTCAGTTCTAATATAGTGTGTGATAAAAGAGGTCACTTTTGTTTACATACACATAACACTTTATAACACTGAAATAATTCATTTATTTTTTACAATTATTCAAAGTAATTTTTCAATTAATCTTGAGCACGCCCATGGAGTGGTCGGAGGTACCAGTTAAAATTATGGTAATTACTCTCTCGTTCATAAAAATAAACTATAATTTAAGTTTTTGTTATTTCATATAGGTGAACTACTTTACCTGCTTTCAAACAAAATAAAATAAATAAATAAAACTAAAACAAGTAACTTGTATCTACAGTTGGCATCCATGAACATAGGTAACGTTATGGAAAATAGCTGCAGCAGCTGAGCTTAAAAAACTACAGGGTGATTGAGTAGTATACCTTGGAATACCTGTTGGTGGACAGCAAGGTGGCGACTCTCCGTTTCCTTTATGGATTGCGGCGCTGTTTAGGAGCTCTTTTTCCACTGAAGCTTGATGACGAAGCTGCTCCAGTCGCAGCTGGTTTTGCCGTTTCCACTTGGTTCTGCAGTGAACAAAAACCAGCGGTTAATAAGATTATAGTTTATATTGTTTGGATATTATGTAAATACCAATGAATTAAAAACTATTATAATCATTTTTTTTTCGTTTGAGAGTTTTATGTAAATAGGTAATAGTATAAAATCAATAAAATATTTATAACAAATGGGTAATAATTGAATTGTTTACTGATAATAATATATAAATCTGATCAAAAAATGAATATAAAAAATATTGCTCGCCGAATTAAATAGTGAGGTGGAAACAGTGAGATAACGAAATGTATCTTATGATCTCTAGTTTCTACTATCTACTTTAGATAATAGATAGGCTTATCGAGTTATTTTCGCAGTGTTTCTCAATTTGTTAAAAAGACCTGCTATATCTTCCCCAATCCCATCTTTCACCAATCACTTTCTGATGTGCCCAAAACAAGTTAAAGTTAAACAAGATCTCCGAATGATGACACCGAATGATTAAAAAATTAACACAAAGATATTGTGCTATTCAGATGAAAAATAAGATGACTTCAATAATTACTGTTTATATAAATAACATGGGAAACGCTACTCTTTAAATACAACTTAATCGAAATAGAAGAATGCACTAGTCTCGGCTAACAGATATTCATTTTAACAAATTTTTTGAAGAAATCTAAATTACCTTTGTGCGGAAAGATTCTGGCGTAAACATCTGGAAAGTAGTTATGAGGAGCAGTAAAATAAAAACAACTGCACTATACCAATCTTAAGCCAGGGGTTAGGTAAATCATGCAAGTGATGGAAAAGAAGGGGGAAATGAGTAGCAACATCGTAAAAAAGCAACGGTTCAGCTGGTTCCGACTGATAGAACTCTGCAAAGGGAAGAATGGGAAGAAAAATGGGAAAACTGGTCTCCTTAGTTCGGTGAAATGGCCAGTATAGAGGAAAAACTCTGACAGAAAAATTACCTGGTTCTCCTGGAATGAAGGTCAGATCGACGTGGTTGCTATTCGTTATCTGGAAAAAAGCTTAACTGCAAAATTTCCTGAGACACTGAAATGTGAGAAGTTAGTATTCGCCTCTGGTTGCGTTGATTAACTGAGTTACCGTTGCTAACTACCCATCTTCCTGTCTTTTGATTTCTTTTTCTTTGTTCTCCTGAAGAAGCTACATACAATTGTAGCGAAACGTCGAGATGAACCCACTTTTGGGTCACTCACAAATGACACGGTCCAAACCCGGAAGACGAATAAGCTATAATTCTGACTCTGGCCGTGGAAGCCTACGATTTCATCAGGTTTTAGGAGTTGTATAATATTTTTTTTATTTCTAGATATAGGATAACGTGGTCTATTTACGGCGAATGTTTTGAGAATATCTAACTATCTGAAATAATTACTAAAGACATTAGCCCAAAATATGTGCACAACTATTTTATTGAAGATCTCCAAACTTGGCAAATGTCATTTGACATTTGCCAGACAAGGTTTGCAAATCTTTATTATTTAAAGGTTTTGATTAACTTAAACCATTCAATATAATAATAAAAGTATGTAATACTTGCCTTCTATTTTGGTACCAAGTTTTCACTTGTGTTTCGCTGAGATTGAGTGCATCAGCAACATCGCTTCGATCAGCAACGGAAAGGTACTTTTGACACCGAAATTTACGTTCCAGGTACGCCAACTGAGCGTGCGTGAATGCGGTTCTTCTTCTGCGAGGTTTCCTACCTTTGGAATTTTCCAAAGACCCCGTTTGTTGTCCTTCGCCTCCGGCCATAAAGAAAACTCCTTTACTGGGAGACGCAACAATTGCTGCCGCCGATGGAGGCGGCGATTCGATGTCGATGTCCGTATCGGCGTCGTGAGACATAGGAATGGATTCTTGGTCGGAGTAATCGGGATAAGCTGAGAAAAAGAGAGTATTGTTAAAACTCAACAATATATATTGTTTTCCTTGTACCTTCTTTGATGATAGATTGGGTGTTACACAAAGAACTGTACTAGGCTCGGGCTTCAGTCTGGTAGAGGTATCTTGGTCAGGGTTCTTATTACAGCTCAAATATCACGGATCAGTTAAAGAAGTACTGACAACACAGAGACAAGAAGTTAAAAGAAAAGAGAAGTTAGGAGATAAGAGAAGTTATTTGGGCACCACCCTATTTTTAGAGGAACAGGGAAACCTTAAGGCATATAGAAGAGGATAACAAAGGTATGAAGGTACAAGGTTAATAATTATAATTTTTACAAAAGGTATAAAGGTACAAGCTGAATGAATTTATATAACCTATATAATATATTGGTACAACTATGTTAATATATACACTTATGTGTCAAAAGGTATAAGAGGGTATCCGCTCAATATTGTTACAGCAAAACAGGACACGTAAGGCAAACAAGGCAATATGGAGATCGTGAAATAATGAACGAAAGAGTGAGTTCGTTGCGATATTGTTAACGTAAGGCACATTGGTTAAATGACACTGTATCAGTAGATAGTCCGAGTATTTTGCTAAGATATCATCACTAGAAAGATATACTCAACCTTGGTTCAGTTATGTAAGAAGATAGCTAAAAATCTAGATACCGGTACTTATCGAAATATAGGTGATAATAATAGACTATTAGTATGCCAACGTTTTTCGTAACCAGGTATAAAGGTAATAAGACTAATGTTAAGTTTGGCTAGGTAGATAGGGAGTTTGTAACTAACAAGGAGAATTGTAATGGGGATTTAAGTACTCAGTATCATTGACGGAGTTGAGCAATATCTACTGTAATATTCTTAGTATGTCCAAATAATTTTTCTGTTAACAATTATATTTTAAATCGCCCTTTATATGTTTAATGTGTAATTTTATTGTGTTTTAATTATTTCTTGGTTGGTTTTGTTTGCTCTGTTTTTATATTTAATTACTAGTGACCTAGGTGCTTTTAACCAATACTGTCAGTACTGTTTTGAACAAATTATGTTCAACAACTCGTTTAAATACTTTCGACTAAATCTGTAAGTGAGTGATTGTTTATTCTAAACTGATTTTTATATAACTGTTAATCATATTTTAGTTGTCTCCTGATGCAGCTGACAAAAAATCAGCGAAATATAGAGGATTAAAAGAAAAAAGAGTTTTTTTTTAATAATAACAGACCGCATACCCGATATTCCAACACAATTAATTGTTATATATATATATATATATATATATATATATATATATATATATATAATATAAATATATTATTAATATTATTTTCCTATTTGTTATTAAATAGCCTCTTGTTCACCTTGTGTTTTATGCTGGGTGCAATTGTCTGGAAAAAAAGTTGCCAGTTTAGATCATAAACTGATTTACTACGATGATTACTTACAGATTTAATGTCGGTTTGAGGCTTCTGTGGCCGATATCTTCTTATACCTCGTTTTCTCATTTCTGATGCAATTATGGGCTTACTCCTGAACTGGCATGAATTTAACATTTGAGCTGTAGATGAAGGTTTGGTTTGTTGATTCCTACTTCCTTTCTTTCTAGTTTGCGATAATGCACATATTTCGATTTTATATGTATTCATCAAAACATTGCAAATCTCAGTTTGGTTTCAATACAATTGCAAACAATCTAATTGATCTCAGGATAGAAATAGTGGGGAGAATACAATCATACAGATATGGGGGATATTGGGTAAACGAAAAGTGGGACTTATCTCAGGGAATAAAAAACAGAATAAAGCAAGACAGAACATCATTTAGAATTAAGCAACCATACCATAGAGAATGCGGATTTTAAGTTGTTATGTCTTGAACATTTTGCTAGGTATATGGAATGAAAGCATTGACTCTCATTGAAACAATGTGTAACACAATTGAGGTATGAGCGTACCACTGAATGTTGAGAATATCTTTGATGGACAGAGTGACGAATGAAGCAGTTTTACAGTGTTTACACAAGGAAACAGAGGTTCTTAATAGCATAAAAAGAGAAAAATTGGAGTAAGTAAGTACTTTGAACTTAGGGCACTTAAAGAAGAAGATGTATTCATCTCTATTAGATTTCCTTGGTATCTTTTTGTCCACGATTGAATATTTCAGTATGTTTTTCGTAATCGCTTCTTATTATTTTGAGTTTGCATTTCTACAATTTATTTAGATATATTATAATCGAATCCTGGTTATTAAACGATTAGAATGTTTCACAGTATTTAAACTCTTTTGGCGCTTTTTATCTGCTTACGAAAAAAGTTATCATCAAGCTTCAAAAATATTTTGAAATATATCAGTTTTCTTTATGTTTGACATCACAATAACTAATTTTCTCTTATTAAAATACCCTCCCGGCGTTAAAACCTCAAAAACAAAACACATAAAAGAATCACTCATAATTTTCAACCGGATTTTTATCACTCGAAAAGAAAAACAAAACAGAACGATGAGCATCGGCCTAAGGCCATTCGATCTCTTGAACACAAAGCGGTGGTTCATTCATTAAAGCGAGAAGTAAACTGCTCAAAAACGCATTGAGTAGACAACAACCCTCTAATTGGAGAATCCGAGCTCGCAAATCATAAGATAAGGGGTAGCGGCACATTGAAGAGGTGACTGCTGCCTTAATTATGGCTAGAGGGGAGAGAATCATCTTAGAAAGGCACGTAATGTGGAAAATTGTGTTGGTTTTTTACTTTTTAAAAACATTATACAAAAAAGAGATGTCTGATGGGTGGAATATTCTTTACAATATAGCACATCTAAAGAAGTGGATAACTTGTTTCAACAAATGTTCTTTATACTGCTCTACAAATAACATTCGTTTCATTTCTATTTACGTCACGGATCGACACAAAATTAACTGTACGTATTGTTAACCAAAACCGTAAATATTTTTAGATTGCCATTAAATAAATAATAATGAATATTACAATTAATAAATATATTATCCTCAACAGTCCCAGGAAATTTTTTGTTTTTAATTTCTATATTTCGGTGTGTTTTATGTTACATTATCAAGATAAGAAAAAAATAATAAATTTTTTTTATGGCAGCCATCTTTAAAATCCAATGTCTCTTATGGACGACATTGGGTTTCAAGATAATCAAAAATTCTCATATTCACAAAATAACATAGCATATGCACATAGCATATGCACATAACATAGCATATGAGGCACAAGCATATGCACCAACAGCAGATAAGTCAGAAGAAGAAATAACTAAGTTCTATAAAGATCTGGAAAAAGCAATAAGACCAACAAAGAAAGAGGACATAAATATAATAATGGGCGACTTTAACGCCAAGGTGAGTAAAGGAAGATATGAAGACATAATTGGAGAGTACGGCCTTGGAGTTGAAATGGAGAAATGAAAGAGGCGACCTGCTGTGTGAATTCTGCCAGGAGAACGGTTTTGTCCTTATGAACCCATGGTTTCAGCTCCCACCTCGTAAGTTATATACTTGGAGATCACCAGGAGACCGTCCAAATCGAATAATCAGAAACCAAATTGACTACGTTTTAATAAACAGAAGATTTCGTAACGCTATCAAAAGAATCGCAGCATGTCCAGGTGCTGATATTGCATCCGATCATAATCCGCTAATAGCAGATGTGAGGTTAAAACTAGCAAAAATTAAGAGAACAAATACAAACACCAGCACGCCTATAAATACAAGAGAACTGATGAGAGACGAAAATCTGAAGAAGAGTTATGCGAATCAAATTAATAAAAGATTGCGAGTAATAGAACAAAATGATGATATTGGAGAGATGGTCAATGATATTAAAGAAACGATTCTGGCAGTAACCAGGGAAGTTAAAACACAGATCAGAAAGAGAAAGCATAACGAATGGATGACGGACGAAATTATGGATCTAATGGAAAAGCGAAGGCAACATAAACAACAACGTAATCAAGACAAATACAAACAGATACACAAAGAAATTCGCCAGAAAATTAAGAACGCAAAAGAACTTTGGATGGTGGAAAAGTACAACGAAATAGAACAATTGCAGGAAAAAGGAGATAGTTTTGGAATACATAAGAAGATCAAAGAAATATCGAATATACACAAAAGCCACCACAGAACAAGAATACGCAACGACAGAAACGAATACATAGAGTCAGTAGAGGAGATAGCAATGGCGTGGAAAGAATACGCAGAAAGCCTTTTAATGACGAAAGACCAACACAACCAACGCGCAAACTTCCTTCCGAAAACTTATCAGGGCCATCAATAATGCGAAGTGAAATAGAATATGCAGTTACAACCACAAAGATGCATAAAGCAACAGGTCTAGATGAAATTAATATAGAAGCAATAAAACTACTAGACGAGGAGAATATTGAAATCTTGGTAAAGCTGTTCAATAGAATTTATGATACTGGTTACATTCCGCGAGAATGGCTGCAGTCATCTTTTGTGATGATCCCAAAAACACCTAATGCCACAAAATGCAATGATCACCGCTTAATCAGTTTAATGAGTCACTTGCTGAAACTCTTCCTTAGGATATTACACTCAAGAATGTACAAGATACTAGAAGAACTTAGCGGGTCAACACAATTCAGTTTTAAGGGAGGACTAAAAACAAGAGAGGCAATTTTATGTTTGAACACCTTAATACAAAACTGCTTAGATCAACGAAAAGATGTCTACCTCACCTGCATCGACTACGAGAAGGCATTTGACAATGTTAAACATGATATCATGATGGAACTACTACATAGGGCCAACATTGACCAGAAGGAGATCAGGATTATTCAGAATCTATATTGGAACCAAATGGCAAAGGTGAGGATTGATCAAGACCAATATACGGATGAATTTGAAATCCGGAAAGGTGTCTCTACGCTATGCGGACGACACAGTGAATATAACTGATAATTTGGAAGATCAGCAATTATTACTTGATAGGGTGAA